TGGAAGGACTGATGTTGAAGATGAAACTCCAATACTTTGGCCACCTGATGCAAAGGTCTGACTCATTTGAAAAGACCCTGATGCTGGCAAAGAGTGAGAGCAGGTGGAGAAAGGGATGACAGAGGATAAGATGGCTGGATGGCATCACCGACTCAATGGACATGAGTTTGAGTACACTACGGGAGTTGGTGATGGACAGGGAGGCCTTGTGTGCTGTGATTCATGGGGTCGCAAAGAGTCAGACATGACTGAGCGACTGAACTAAATTGATATGTTATTATGAAGATGCTAAAAAAAATACTGAATATACTTTAAAATGGTTAACATGGTGAATTTCAAGTTTTTAAAAAGCTGTGATCTTTGAGATGGTGAAAGAAAGATAAAGGTGACATCAGAAGATTCTTGTGCTATTCTGGGGGTATAAATTTTGGGGTGAATTCACGTGGGATCTTCCCAATTCTCTAGGATCTAGTTTTGTTTTTTTTTATGTTCCCTTCTCACCCCGCCCCCCATTCTACCACCATGATTATGACATAATTTTGTTTAGAACAGATTCAAGGCATTGCATCATTATCACTATGTGTGTGTGTGCATGCTGAGTTGCGTCCCACTCTGCGACCCTAAGGACTGTAGTGTGCCAGGCTCATCTGTCTGTGGAATTTTAGGATCTAGTTTTTAAACTCTTCAAACATAAGGATCTCCTATGCAATCTACAATCCAGAAACTCAGGGTCGCAGGATTCCCAAACCACTCGCATTAACTCCCCACCCTCATGTCCACTGGGCTTCCCAGGTNTTTTAAAAAGGTGAAGTGACTATACCAATTCATTTTTATCGCTATGAATCCACCCAACACAATGTCATCTTCTCAGGTCCCAACTCCAAGCACCCAACATACATGTACATAGGCAAATAACAGGACAACTGCTGAAAGGATGGAATCCTCTTGATTTTACTGGTTAGAGTTGAGCTGCCAGAGGTACTGGGTTTTCATATACAGTAAGAGCCAACTTGTTCATGATCAGACTTCCAGTGACATCGACCTTCCGAAACATCTGTGACGCAGGGGGCCGTGTAGGAAGAAGCAGCAGGCTCAGAGCCTCCTGAGAACAATGGCCCAAAACCCCATGCACTGCCCCCTCCTCAGAAGCAAAGCCAATCTGACACGCATGTAACACTGCGTTTCCTGGCTTCCTCAAGAAAACTTCAGTTTTGCCCTGGAGGTTTCCATCAGAGAGCAGGAGGTGAAGAGCAGAAGACTCAGAAAGCAGGTTAGAAGAGGAGGGATCGGCAGGACGTGACAACCCGAGACACAAACACTTCCCCCATATTGTACAGAACACATTTTGTATCGTGTGCACAACATAAAGAACGGCGAAAGCTGTTTAAATACAGCCAGGGGCCGGGTTATATGGAAGGGGGTAAAAGTTCCCAGATACCACAGTTGCCCCTGACAGCTTCACCAGTAGAGCAGACAGCAGTGCAAACCATCAACGAGAAGAGCGTTAGTCTGTGAAAGGCAAGCCGAGCCCTGCATGTTTGGACAGGCTCCGGATGACATCACGACACCACACCAAGGTACAAAGGGGCTGATGTTTGTAATGATGATGACTCATCAAGAAAAGGTTAAATACTCTCCAATGTACTCTGTTTACTAAGGCAGGGAAGTGCGTAATATATTTTAGAAAGATTTCCCTCAAAAAATATTAAAATTGTAAAGATTCGTCACTTAAAAGGGTTAATCCTCTGTTATCTGAATATTTGCGTACATTACCTCATTTCACAACAATGCTAGTCAATGAGGCATTGCTTTTTTTTTTATATCATTAGTATCAAATTATTGGCACCATTCAGATTTAAGGAGAGGGAGAGGAGAGCAAAGTATACAATACAACATAAAAATACAATTCTGATACAAATATATGAGATCAATCCCACTTAAGTGGTCATAAGAAATGGATGGATATTTTACACACAAGGAAATACAGCTACTAAGTCATCACATGGAAAAGTGCTCAGCTTTGCTAGCAATTAATGAAATAAAACAACCTTTTAAGAACAACTATATGCACTTATTAAACTAGCAAAAATAAATTAAAATGGCAAAACCCAATACTGGCAGAACTATTGGTAAATAGAAATGCTTATACATTGCTGGTGGCATCAAAAATTGTAGAGGGGTTTCAAGCATTTAGAGAGGATGGGAGGTTGAACTTGATGACCTCTAAGGTCCTTTCAACCAGGAGACTGGATCTTTCTAGAAAGCAATCTGACAATATGAAACAAGAGCTATAAAATACTTCATGCTCTTTGACCTTGTAATCTCTCTTTGGAGATACTCCCAAGGGAAGAATCCAAAGGAAGAAACATTTTATTTTTTACAAAGACATTCATAGCAGCACTATTTATGAGAATGAAAAATAGGATATAACTCAAATATCTAGAAATGGCAACAAGTGAGGTTAACCACATTACATGAATACAAAGAAATTGTAAGTGGTGAGAGCAGGATCAGTGTTGAAAAGAGAAGATATGTGTTAGATGGAGGAAGTAATCAAATATTATGTTCACAATGATCATACTGATGAAAAAATGTGTGCATATGCATTGAGAAAGGGTGGGAAGCAATTTGGAGGGTTAGTTTGTGGTTAGGGGGTTCTTTTATTCCTGCAAAGTTGTTCAAGTGCATAAGAAAAATTTAAAAACACATTTCTTGAAACTATATAAAAAAGAGCAAAGTTTCTTCTGGTCAAGTTTCTATCAACAGGACATGAGTTGATCAACTTTAGAGATAATTTCCCTTCATGGAACACCCAAATGAATCCTGCTATCAAATCCCTTTGTAAGGATTTTTAGACAATTTCAACTATTTCAGACAATTTAAGCTTTTACTTTGGGTTCAATAATAAAGTCTGTGTATCCCCCATAATATCATAACCCTCAAATTCACAAGTTAAATTATATTTCAGATTAAGCTGAAATAACTTCAGTCCTGGTGATTGCAACTTTCCTTTTTTAGTTCACCTACTCGTGTCTGAATAAAAATGAATGTTAAAGACGTTATAAGATCTGTGCATTTACCAGTGTAAATGGAAAACCAGCAGTAAAGAATTATTCTCTCATTAAAAATGACTCTTTAACAAACAGTCAAAGCTTGGTGCAAGTGTCAGTCATACAAAATCACATGGTTGAGACTGAGAACAAAGGATTCCATGCCATGTTAACCCCTGTGGTTATTCATATGTACACACAGGTGCTTCTGAGAAGGAATCCCGGTTTTCCCATCTTTCTTCTCCTAGGCTTACCAAATTTTGTCTCAACTACATTGAGTAGTAGGAAAACCTCTAATACTCAGGAGACAGTAAATAACTTTTCCAATGAAAGTCAAGCCAGAGGTTGGCTTTGACCATGGAGACCTGGGCGAACAGAGCGCACGTTTGTAGGCTGCGCTACCGCGAGCACGCGAAGCCCGGAGAAAGGAAACGTCCAGAAGGCACCATGCCATCCTCCAGGCAACCGGGCAGAGTTTCACAGTTCGGTCATCAGCAGTCTTTTCATCATTTTCTCTCTCTCCAGTTCCTGCCGGAGGGTCTCTGCACTGAGAAAGAGGAGGTGACAAAACGGTGAGATGCACGTGCAAAAATGGTAAGAGCAGTTATCAGTTGAAATGCCGGTTCCCAAGCTCAGCTCTTGACTGGCTCTTTCAGGCTCCTCAAGGAGCCCCTACATTTACCGGCCCCACAATGACCCGAGATTGGCTGCCTATGGATCTCCCCCACCAGACAGTGAGCTTCTGAAGGTACCGCTCCTCCGAGGACTGCCTGTTAGATACACCGTTCCTCTCTGAACCCCCAGAGCTGAACATAGGACCTCGCACATGGCGCCCTCTCAGCAACGTGAAAGTCAAAGTGTTAGTCGCTCAGTTGTGTCCAACTCTTTGCCATCCATGGACTACAGCCCGCCAGGCTCCTCTGTCCATGGAGTTCTCCAGGCGAGAATACTGGAGTGGGTAGCCATTCACTTCTCCAGGGGATCTTCAGCTTAATCTGAAATAGGATATAACTCAAATATCTAGTGATGGCAACAAGTGAGGTGAACCACACTACATGAATACAAAGAAACTGTAAGTGGTGAAAGCAGGATCAGTGTTGAAAAGAGAAGATATGTGTTAGATGGAGGAAGTAATCAAAGATTATGTTCATACTGATCATACTGATGAGAAAAAAGTGTGCATATGCATCGAGAAAGCATGGGAAACAATTCGGAGGGCTAGTTTGTGGTTGGGAGGGGGGTTCGGTTTTGCCCACTCTACATCCTTAGCACCTAGAATAATACTATCTAGCCTTTGATGGCCTTTCAGTAAATACTTCCAGAATGCATGAAGAAAAGAATGAATGAGAGTGTCACAAATATTGTTGCAGGTGTGACAGACACAATGAGCCTGCGCCTGGCTTCCCTGTCACCAGAGTTACCTGTTGGCACCTGCTGATCGGACACACCTTGTCGCCGGAGAAACAGGCTTCCGAATGGTGTAGACGGTCTGCGCTGTGGACACGGCCTCTGTCAAGGGCCTCAGGGTCGCCGCTGGGATCAGCGGGGAAGACTGGCCAGGAGAGCACTGTAATTTACTGTCTCTAAAGTCTGCCTGGAGGGGAGACAGAAAAGGGGAAGTCAGCCTCAACTGGGGTTTCATTTTCACATTGTCAGCTGTTTCCTCAGCCTTACCACACCGTCCCTGTTATCGATAACAGTTCATAATAGTTCATCGATAGCCATTTATTAAACCATTTTATTTAGTGCCAGCCACTATGCTAAGCACTTTACATGTATTACCTCTTCACAGTCTTTAAGGCGAAGGTCGTGTTTCATCACGTGAGACACCATCATTTATAAGATCCACCATTTTTTGCACACGCCACAGAGAAAAAGTAATCATTCAAACTCTGTCAGGCCTACTATTGTAATACCTACTCTAATTTCAGAGATGTTAGAAGGTGGAAAATAGCACATCTTGGAACTGATTTTTATGGAAAAGGAAAACTGAGGCTCAGAGACGTTCAGTAATCTTCCCAAGGTCACACAGTAAGCACTGTGAAAAAAAGTGAAGTTGCTCAGTCATGTCCGACTCTTTTTGGCCCCACGGACCGTAGCCCACCAGGCTTCTCTGTCCATGGGATTTCCCAGGCAAGAATACTGGAGTGGGTTGCCATTTCCTTCTCCAGGGGATCTTCCTGACCCACAGATCGGACCTGGGTCTCCCGCATTGCGGGCAGACGCTTTACCGTCTGAGTCACCTTAGAACCAAGATTCTAAATGGGGAGAATCTTTAGCTTTGAGACTCCGGAAAGACTACTGCTGAAAAATATAAGCCCCTGTTTGTTTTACAACTGCCTCCAAACACAGAACTGAGCTGGCCTGGGCCGGAGCAATGCCAGAGAACTGATCACGAGAACAGAGCGTCACAGAGTTGCTGGCATGTGATGTTTCCCACAGGGGGCTTTCATAAACACTGGGATGTAGTGGTCACTCGTGTGGTTCCTTAGATAATGCTGTCTCATTTCTTTCCAGGTACATGGTAGGATTTCACTTCCCCAGCCTACTGTAAAAAAATTTTTTATGAATTTTTATTTATTTATTGGCTGTGCTTCCTGGCATGCGGGATTTTAGTTCTCTAGCAAGAGATCAAACCTGTGACCCCTGCAGCGGAAACACAGAGTCTTAGCCACTGGACCCCCAGGAAAGTCCCCCTCACCCCCACTTTGAAGTTAGGCATGGCCAGTGCCTCGCTTTAGCCATGGAAATGAGCCACCATGTTTTATTTCCATTGGAAGAGTTAAGTGCTGGTGTGTGATTTGTCACTTCTTTCCCCGCCCCCGCAACCTCTGTGACCAGCAGTGTTCTAGATGGCAGCTGCTCCATTAGACAGGGTCTAAAGCTGAACCTCCAATACTTTGGCCACCTGATGGGAAGAACTGACTCATTAGAAAAGACCCTAATGCTGGAAAATATTGAAGGCAGGAAGAGAGGGGGATGACAGAGGATGAGCGAGTTGGATGGCATCACCGACTCGATGGACATGAGTTTGAGTAAGCTCCAGGAGCTGGTGATGGACAGGGAAGCCTGGTGTGCTACAGTCCATGCGGTTGCAGAGACGGACACAACTGAGTAACTGAACTAAACTAATCCAACTGCCCATTCACTGTTTCCATCCAGGCATTTCTGAGGCACTTCTAACACACCATGGCAAGAGGCAAATTCATTATCCCTCCTGGTTCAGTCTTCCCTAAGATTTCCTTGTCTCAGTGAATGCACCCACTCTCCATCCACATTCTGCAAGTCAGAAATCTGAAAACCATTTCTGGCCATTTCTCTCCCTCATCCAATCTAATTCCTCACCAACTTCTTAAATATGTCCCCGATCTGTGCACATCTATCCACCTCCACCATCAGTACCACTCTGGGTCAAGCTCTCTGCCTTCTTTCCCTTGAACTGCTGTTGGAGGTTTCTAGACGACTGCCCAGAGTCCACACTGCCTGAACCCAGCTCCTCTCACTGCCATCACAGGCATCATCGCCAAATGCAGCTGCCCTGTCATTGCCCCACTCAGAGTCCTTCAAAGGCTTCCCACTGAAGGACTTCCCATCTGAGATCAGCCGAGACAGCTGTGCCCTGCACGCTCTGTCCCTGCCTTCCAGGCCCGCTGGCCTCAGTCAGTCCCCTGGAGGTGGGATGACCTCTCTGCCCCAGGACCCTGGCTCATGCCGCTCCTTCTCCCTGCTCTAGCTGCCTTCAAGCCACTCTTGCCCGGTTCTTCAAAGTCCCAGCATGGTTTCTGACATTGGCTTCCTGCTCCATCTCAGTCCCCGGCTTTTCAGGAAGGGCTTCCCTGGGTGTCTCACAGCACTGCCAAGGCTGGGCAGCAGGCCAGAGTGCCCGCTATGGCCAGTGGAGGAAGTGGAGCCGGAGCTTCCAGCTGGGGAAGCTGTGCGCAGCCAAACGGCAGGGGCCAGATGAGTATCTGGCAGCAGCACTGAATGCCTGGCCCAGCCCGTGTCTCTGCCCTCTGTTCCTTAAAAGGCAGGTGCTGGAAGCTGATCATGACCCTGGTACAGATTGTTCTGCATGTGTGCATGCTAAGTCGCTGCAGTTGTGTCCAACTCTGTGTGACCTCATGGACTGTAGCTCACCAGGCTCCTCCATCCATGGGATCCTCCAGCAAGAACACTGAAAAGTGGGTTGCCATGCCCTTCTCCAGGGGCTCTTCCTGAGCCAGGGAGAGAACTCACATCTCTTATGTCTCCTCCATTTGCAAGCTGGTTCTTTACCAGTAGCGCCACCTGGGAAGCCCCATGGATTGTTCTAGAAACCTGCTTTTGTCTCTGCATGGACTGCTTGCTGAACACCTGCCCAGGTCTGTTCATCCTTAGACCTGAATCAGCCACTGCTCACACCCTCCTGTTCATATGGCTGAAGCTACCTCAGGTAGTGACCATCAGCCAGCCCCTGACACTGCACTTCAAACTACCCCGAGGGCACCACAGAGCCCACCTGGAAGATCCTCTAGACTGACCTTTGGAAGAAACCTCAGGGACCACTTGGTTCTAGGAATTGCAAACTCTGATCCCTGGGAGGAGGAGGGAAGGAGAGGAAAGAGGCATGCATGGGCGCTCAGTCATGCCCAACTCTTTGCAACTCCGTGGACTGTAACCCCCAGGATCCTCTGTCCATGGGATTTTCCAGGCAAGAATACTGGAGGGGGTTGCCACTTCCTACTCCAGGGAATCTTCCCAACCCAGGGGATTGAACCTGCTTCTCCTGCATTAGCAGGCAGATTCTTTACCACTGAGGTACCAGGGAAGCCTCAGGAGAGACAGGAGGGAGCCTCAACTCCCCACTTCTGCTCATCAGAGAGTGAGCTTCTGCACAAGCTCTTAATTAAGGAAAAAAGTCGAGGCGCTGAAAAGAATCCTGAAAATCATCGAACTCTCTCACTTTGCAGATGAGGAAACTACAACATTTAAATGTTTAAAAACATTTCGGCAGTTTGCAGAGAGTTTAAATAAGCTGCTCAGCGACACAGAGAGCCATGGCAACAGGAAAGCCGGTTGCTATGACGACCTGCTTCTGTGTTTACAGCACCCTGCCTCTCCAACATTCAGGAACAACCATTGTACTTGACATTCGTGGGATGGTCTGTGCATGGTCGAGTACTTTCAAGTTCTTGATCCCTTTTGACCCTTGACTCAACCACATATGAGGAGGAGGATGTTCTTATTACTATTTCCACTTTAAATAAAAGGAGACTGGTGCTCAGAGTGGCAAAATCTTAACTTAAAATCATAAATCATACCATTATCAAGATGCAGATCCAACCCCAAAGCACTGAAAACAGAGTCTGATAAATGCATGCACATGCATGTTCATAGCAGTATTATTCACAGTAGCCCAAAAGTGGGGAGAACCCAAAACCCAGCCATGAATGGATGGATCAGCAAACTGTGGTATGTAAGTGCAATGGAATATTATTCCTCCATAAGAAGAAATAAAATACTGATACATCCTTAAAATTACAAACCTTACATAAACCTTACAAACATGATGCTAAGTGACAGAAACCAGACATAGGTCATGTAGTGTATGATTCCATTTTTATGGAATATCCAAACTAAGCAAATCCAAAGAGACAAAATGCAAGTTGGTGGCTAACAAGGGCCAGAGTGAAGGGGAAAATGGGGATGACTACTTACTGGGTATGAGATTTCCTTTGGGGGTGATGAGAAGGTTTTAGAATGAGAAGTGGTAGTTGCATGACACTGAACGTACTAAATGCCACTAAATTGTCACTTCAAAAATGGTTAATTTTATGTTACGTGAAGCTCACCTCAATAAGATAAAATAACTAGAAAATGCTGACCCCCAAACTCCAACTCCTTCTCAGCTTCACAGAGTTCACAGCAATCAAAAGAAGCTGTTGGTGGGGCTTCCCTGGTGGTCCAGTGCTTAAAAACCCACCTTCCAATGCAGGGGATGCAGGTTTCATCCCTGGTCCAGGAACTAAGATCCCATATGCCTTGGGGCAACTAAACCCATGCATCACAACTAGAGAGAAGCCCATGTGCTAAACAACAAAACAAACAAAAACCACTGCATGTCGCGACTAAGAAACAATGCAGCCAAAAATAAATAAATACACACTAGCTGTTGGCATTGTCGGCTGGCAATCCACAGGAACTATGTCTTAAAACACAGGTCTGTTTTCCGGATCTACTTACGGTAAACTGTGGCCCTGTTATGAAAGGATCAGGAAAAGGGGTCACTGGATCAGCCGGGAATGTTTTTATCTTCAAAAAAGAGACAGAGAAGAGTGTTACTTTCAGATTAGAAAACAAAACTTTGAAATCTTTGGCAGCACACTTTTAAACTGAACTGAAGGATACAGGAGAACGCACACCGAGCCTTCCTTGTTTGCCGAGGAAATAAACCAAGGGTCCCTACGGGTGTTGCCTAGCGGTTGTATCTGAGCCTGGAGTTGTGTGATAGGGCCAGGCCTCTGCAAGGAAGACAGGCTGGAGTGTTGTGTTTGCAGGACACCTACACTACCTCACGCTGACCACAGCCAGGGGGTATAGTGAGGCTGGCGAGGGTTATGTGGGGGCCTGCTGATGGCCCCTCTGTGGCTGTGGGGAATGGACTAGAGGCCACTGATAGGCAACAGAGTCTATCAGAGTGGACAGAGTACCACTTAGTTAGTTGTCGGGCTCCCTGTAAACTCTGGGCAATAGAGGGAAACCTCGGGAACCCGGGTAAGCCTGGAAGAATCCTACCACCATGGCCTTGGGGCCAGAAGGCATGGTGATCACAAGTGCCCTGTGCTGGCATCTGGAGAGGGTGGACAACCTGAAGGATCAGGTAGTACCAACTGGCCATCAAGAGCCTTTGCTTCCTTTTCTTTCTCTTGGGTCATTTCATCTCTGGCCTCCTAGACACCTTTGGAGGAGAGGGGGCGGGGAGGGGTTATATTTCTTTAAGCTGGCCTAGAAGACTGCCAGCAGGCCCAGGGTCCTGATGACTGGCACTAGCTTTGTCTGCAGCCTCGGGGTGCAGAAACCGCGACTTCCACCAAAGGGCTGCAGCCAAGCCGTCAAGGCCACCACTTCCCACGTGCAGTCGCTTTAGTGTCTTTCAGGGTCTTGCTTACGGACAGTAGTTACTTGATGGCTTTGAGTCATTCTAATGGGGGGTAAGATAGGCATGCACAGGAACACGTCAGATCAGACCCAAATCTGCTGAGGGATTCTGAGGGAGTTGAGTAGGTCTCAACTCAACCCATCTAGAAATGACAATGTCCTTGGAGTGGGCACTGAGATGTCTAATCCAAGCCTGCTCGCCCCATCCCCAAACTCTCTTTTAAAAGTCTCTTTAAACATCTCAAAATTCCCATGGACCCAGGTGCCAGTTCAGGTTCCTGGCAGTGACCACCTGCTTGCTGTACAGCAGGTTAAGGACTAGCGGAAGCCTTACTCCTTGCAGGGCTTAATGGTTCAACATGGTGTGCTGAGACCAACAGCAGTGTGAAAGCAACATACAGAATAGGCTCAGACCATCATGAAATAAAAGGGAAGAAGAGGATTATTATGCTATTAAAGAAATGTGAGAGTTGGCAACGTCAAAGAATTATTTTATACTTGCTCTAAAGAAGAAAAAGGTATTCCAACAGTTACCCTCTGGGTTGCCGAGCTCTGACAGAGCACATACACGCTCCTGATGGTGCTGTCATTGCAGCCACCACGTTAGAATGGGGGCAAAGCCACAGCTGCAATACTGAACCCAGCAGGGTCCAGCCTGAAAAAATCAAATCCCTGTTGCACAAGCTATATGTGTTCCCTGGAACAGTGACAACCTGGAAACAAAGCACACGTCCTGCAGGAAAGAGTTTGTTAGGAAGATGGTGGACCATTCACTTGATGGAATACATAGAACGTGGTACCCAGAACAAGCTAGAAGCAATACAATGTTAAGCGAAAAGAAGAAAACAGTAGGTGACATGGATGCTATGATTTAACTATGTAAAACTGTGAATGAATATAAATAAATATTAGAAGGAAACATGCAAAAATGAAAAAAAAAAAAAAGTTGTGCCAGGTTGGGATTGCAGGAGATTCCTTTCAAGTCATTATGTAATTCTCATATTGTCATCTTGATAAACAGCAGGAAAAGACAAGTTAAAAGCTTTTGTTTGCAACAGAAATGCAACTAAGAGTGTTCTCTCTGCGGAAAGCATCTATGCACATCATGGCTCTAAGAAAACAAACTCTTCACAGTTCTTGAGACCTACAGAGAGGGGGGTGGGACCACAGTCATGAGTCCCAGTTTGACCAGGGCTGGCTGGACTCCAAACTCTGCATCCGTCCTGGAGGGACAGCCCCTGCGGCCCGGGCTCCTCCGGGCTCCGGTGCTCGTGCACACCCCTGGGGCTGCCGCCTGGTGGTCCTGCCCGCCTCACCTCTCCCTGCCAGGGTACCTACCAGCCTCGTTTTGATTGGAGGGTGCATGCAAACTCCAGTGGTCTCTTCCTTCATGGGGAGAGAGAGTGGAGGAGAACAGCGAGAGTGGGCACAGTGGGGGGCGCTGGCGGGCTCTGCCTGCTCACGAGGAGAGGAGAGAAGGGGAGGACGAGGTGGTGAGAGAGGGGAGGAGGAGATAAGGGAGGGGAAGGAGAGAAAGATAGCACAGTGCAAGATGGATCTGTCAACTCCAGACTGCTCTCCAGCCAGCCTCACCCACAGCCTCCTTCCAGCCTCTGGCCACCTGACTTCTGGTCCCTCCCGCTTCCCTCCTCTCTCCGCCTTCTCTTCTCCTCCCCGGCCCTCCTTGGTCTTCTCCACTGTCTGGGCAGAAGGACCCATCAAAACTCTCTTCCCAGGACTGGCAGGTGGGGGCTATCTCCTGTGCCCACACAGGACTGGTATGCTGTTGAGGATGCTAAAGCGTTGCCCAGGCCAAGCCAGAAAGAGCTCAGATGAATCGGTGAAGCCGGCCATGGGGGCAAAATGAGCAATGGCCACACGCTTGAGAGTGTCTGCCTTCCATAACCAGTGGCCTCCTATACTCTGCTAAATGAGGACCCACATTATGGTGGATAGGTGAGTGGAGAGCTCCAAGAAAGAGGCACATCAGTGAGGAGAAATACAGAAGTCAAGACTGCATCTGTCATGGCTCTTTATCTATGCTCAGAAGACGTGCTGGCCATGATCCCCCTCCCACATCTATGGACCCAGGCCTTGGCGTCTTGTCTAGGCACTGGGAGAAAGGGGAACCTTGCTGCTTCGCTGGAAGGTACCAACCATTGTGAGAAAAAGCCATGTTACTTGGGATACTGGGTTCCCCAGTTTTGCTGTTGTTTAGTCGCTGAGTCGTGTCCAACTCTTTTTGCAGCCCCATGGACTGTGGCCCGCCAGGTTCCTCTGTCCGTGGGATTTCCCAAGCAAGAGTTCTGGAGTGCGTTCCCACGCCCTTGTTACCCAGCCCCAGCGCTAAACAGTGCCATGCACCCAGCAGAGATCCGACAGCTTGTACTAGTGAGGATGAGGATGGTGAGGAGAGAAAGCTCTGATGTTAGGAGAGTCACTGACAGGGTTAGTGTGAGTCTTAGGAAAGGACCATTCACTCCAGAGAAAAAATACATGTATCTTTTAGCTCAAGAGCATTTTCTTAAGTCATTGGTATGATCCTGGCACAATGGATCAAGGACAGCCTCTGGGAAAGCGTCACTGAAAAATTATCAAGGAAGTTGCAGCCTTCTTTTTCATCTCCAGATGGATCTAACGCCATCCTCTTTACTACTGTGCAGTCCTAGACAGTCTCCAAGGGGCTTTTACAACCATATTCCCAATGGCCTTCAACACAGCCTTGTTTATTATTCAGACGTGGGAGAGGCAGAAATGACATTTGCAAAGCCTAAATCCATGGGTCTAGACCCTCTTGTCCATTGTTTCTAAATCCATTTTTCAGAAACAAGGGAGTCCACATTAGCCACCTGCAGTTAAATTTTACCAGTCTACTTAAAATCTCCCTCTGCTTCTGGTCCTTGGGACAAATCCCATATTCCATAGGATGTTATCTAAGGCACGAATCACCAGGAAACATGGACATTCTGCCTGGAGGCCAAAATGTGTGTTGGCCACCAGAGTCTGAACTGAAGATTATAATGGATGACCTATTTGCCTAGCATCAGACGTTTATTGGTAAAGAAATGTTGGTCCATTCCACAAGCATCTCTGACCTCTCAAAAATGGAGATTTAGAACTCAGATTTTAAACTCAGATTTTTAAATGCATCTGAGTAGATTTAAACAAAAGAACATCCCTGGAGTTCCCACACTTCTGAGTCGTAGCAAACGAATAGGAAATAAGATAACACATGTAATAGGATACTACTTGGAAATATCATTTGTTTTCTCCTGGTATTTCTTTCCCTCCTAGGATCTTTTCTACACTCAGGCAGCTAGGTTCTGAGTGGCTTCTGAGTTTCAAAATCTGACTCTTTGGGGGAATAGAAAGGTTTAGGTATAGATAAATGATGGTAAAAATGTGTAAGCTTTCAAAAGAGATTGACAGCTTGAGGATAGGCGAGAAAATCCACAGGGGAAGGGAGGAGGGGTAGACACGAGTGAGTGCTGAGCAAAGGGGCTCTGTGCCCCCTCATTCACTGATGGAGGCGGGGGGAGCAGAGGGGAGTGACCTTTCTTACCCATTTTGAGTTAGCTCTGCCTGAGCCGCTGGTCCTGTGCCAAGATACTTCAAAGCCTTATTAAGAACATTTGGATCCCCATGAAGCCCTACTATACCCAAGTTTACCAGATGTGGGTAGGAATGGGGTTGGTGGGCTTCATCATTTGTAAAATCAGGAGTGCTGATAAAAGAAGTAAAGCCTTGGAAGCTTCCAGTCGTACAGCTGCTCACAGTTATCACTAACCAGCTTTCCTTGGATGGGATGTCTGTCTGACCGTGTTATGCGACATTGTGGTGACTTGTAGCAATGCCACGGCCCTCAGGCATGAAAAATGTACCTGTAAGACTCCTCCTCAAAAAATAAAATAAAAGAGCAGAGGGGACCTGCGCCCTAGCAGAGAGGTTCACATCCCAGAAGCTCTGTGATCTCCATCATCCAAAAGGGGCATGAACGAAGCAGAGGGTATCCCAGACGCACCAGCTAACAGGTGACTTTACAAACTAAAGAGACTTCCCTCCCTCTCCCTGTGCCCTGAAGAACACGGACGCAACCCCAGGGAGACTGCAAGAGGCACCCAATTTGACTTGAGATTAAGCTTTAGCCCTCCTGCTAGAATGAGGGTCAGAATAAAAACTAAGTTATTGAGACAAATGGAAAACCAACTCTTGTGATCCCCAACCCAGGACCCGTTCTGGGCCCTAGACAGCCTTCCTTTGGCTGAACCATCACCTCCCTGACCAAATCCTGATTGATGTTCCCTGACCCAGAGGACACCTGGATCCTGACTGGCTCTACAACTGGGTGAGTGGTTCCTGAAGTGCAGGGATCAGGGAGAGACGAGCCCCCAAGAGAAAGCATCAGAGAGGCAGGAGGTGTGGGTGTTAATGGTCTTTGTTACCTGGGGAGGGAAGCTGGTGTGACTGACCTGCAGTAGACGGAATGATGCATTCCAAGGTCAACACGATTCGTGTGTCCATATGCCCTCCCGCTACCCCCCCTCACTCTACCGACACCCACACCCCCGTGCACAGCAGATGGAAATGCCAGATGGAGAGTGGGTGCTGGCTGTACTCACATGCCTTCTTCCCTTCCCATCCCCACGCCCCCAAGCTTCCCTCCCAGGCAGAAACTCTTATCTGATCACGAAGAGTCTGCGATGCAGATTCCAGGAATGGGCAGACAACGAAGCTGCAGCGGTTGCAGGACTTGGATGGCTAAACTGAGCTACATAATCAAACAGTTGGAGATTAGAGAAGAAAAGATTTGGGAAAAGGAGGGGGGAAATGCTATAAGAGTGAAACTGGAAAGCATGTTTTTTGTGGCAAGTTTGAGGATGCAAGTCCTTAGGGCAGTGCAGGGTACAAGAGAATTAAGAAAGAAGCAAAAAGAGATTCGAGAAGTGTTACTGGGAGGTGTTCATTGAATCTTCTCTCATTATTTTGAGAGATGCCAGTTAAAGATTGATTTTTTTTTTTCTTGGCTGTTTGGACCATACTTCATTCCATGCAGAGACTGGATCATAAGGGTTGAAAGTCATAAGGGTTAAACTAACTCCAACAGTGTCTTGGTTTAATGAAGTTCAGAAAATCTGTCCTGCTCCTCTCTCACCAGCTCCCTGTCCTTCCAGCTCTGGCCCAAGGAGCCAGGGCAGTGATGTGGCTTTAGGAGGTTCGTCCAGTCTCAGACCCCAAGTATAGCATTTCCTTGGCTATCCTAGGAGATACAGATGCCATGCCTCTCCATCACCCCAGCAACAGGGCAGAGAGGGCTCCAGTTCCTATTTCTGTGATGATGGGAGGAAAATATGAAGGAGATAGAAGTAAGAGGACCAGACTAAGGTGGAAGCAAGCAGCTGGAGCCCCTCTTCCTCTCTAGGACCCTTCAGCACTCTCAGAGATAGGACTCTGGACTGAAGTAAAACCAGAAATACCAGACCTCCAGCACACCTAGCGTGTGTATGCGCTCTGTGAACATGTACCTGTGCCTCAAATTTGCACAAACAAGACAAAGGATGCTTCATCTTGAGAACAGATATTCCCTGCCGACTCTAGCTGTGAAGTGAGCAGCTGTGTCTTGCACAAGGATCTCAGCTGTCCCGTAGCTGGGCAGTGCAGCACCTGGATCCTATTTCAGAGCTGTCGGAGCTGCCCAGAGACATAGGCAGAGTGTCCTGGGGACAGGGAGTAAGCTCCCTGTTGTTGGAGGTTACCCTATCTTGGCAATCTGTCTAACAAGAAGCGCATGAATGACCAGCTCCATTTTCTTGAACATGGGAAGGAAGTAACTCTGCAGGTTCCCGAGCTGGGCATCACCCATGGTCAGTTCTCAGCTGGTTATCCGAAGGAGCCGACTCAAAGCTCTCAGACAGCACCAGCTCTCCAGATGAGATGCACAGTTGCAGAAATCACAAGCGATTTCCTTGTGCTATCCGAGGCAGGAGCAGTGATCACTCCTAAAGCCTGCGCAGCATTTGGCCTCATATGTCCCCTCTTGAAAGCTGCCCAGAAAGCCTTCCCACCCAGGGCACCCTCGTCCAACTAGCCTGTTCTGAATGACTGCCACCTGACTTCTCCCTAAGCATCCTGCACATGGCTTTCCTATGGATTCTGACCCTTTATCAACCAGAGCCCCTCCAGCCTCCAGCTGCCCTATCCACTCCCAGAGCCGCGCCCAGCCAAACACACAGATCAGTTCTCAGGAGATAGGTTTTCACTTGGCTCATATTTTGACTCACAAGCCAAATTTGCGAATCATGATTTATGTTCCAGTACCCTTGGGTATCAGGCTAAGCCCAGCCGAAGGTACATCCAATCTTGCCTGTGTCATCCAGTGATATTAATTATATCTTATACATATTTACGTTGCTTTCTACGAGGGGCTCTTTCTCTTGTGTGATCCTCATCATCCTGTTAGGCAAGCAGGGCAAACAGTGACATCCTTATTGAACAGAAGATGGGGCAGCAATTTTTCAGCAATTATCCAGTGGCCAGGATCTTAAGGTGAGGAGTGGAGACTGGAGCTAGTTCTGGTCTGCATGACTCCTGGTCCAGTGCTCCCTCCCCCAAGTGGCTTTCCCACCTGCAGGAATCCCCTCCCTAAGGAGAGACCTGTCTGCAGAGGATGGCGGATGGTAGGGAGGCACAAGGGGCCTGGAAAGCCAAGGTGAGGCCTTGAGCCAGTGCTTTAGGCCAGAGCATGTTGTTGGAAGAGACAGCAAGAGATACCCGACGGCAGGCATGCTGGGCGCAGCCCGGGAAGCCGAGAACCCGAGAGTCAGGCTCGGAGGAGCCCTAGGAGGCTCAAGGACCAGCAGACAGGTGGGGCGGGACCCCTGCTGCCGCCCTCAGAGGAAAGGGGACACTGCCCTCCCTTGGGGGCTCTGGGGGGTGGAGGGACCCCTGACGCCTGAACCCTGGAAGAAAGCTGACCCTGAGCCTCCAGGCTGCGAGCAGGACAAGAGGGAGAGCCTGCCCCTCGGTGATGCCCACCTCCGTCCATCCGTCCCACTGCCAAGGCATGTCTACGGTCTGCGGCTTTTCTGGTTTTAGCAAAATGGAAAGTTTACCAGAGGAGTGGCTTCCGTGAAATCCATTAGGAGATCCCCCGGCTCCAAGGTAAAGGCACCTCCGCGGTTAGAGGGGCTCTACAGAGGCAGACAAAAACATCCCAGTTAGGGGCGGGAGGGAGGCTCACGAGAGAGGGGCTGTACATACACATATAGCTGATTCACGTTGCTGTGTAGCAGAAATCAACACAACATTGTAAAGCAATGATCTTCCAATTAAAAAATAAAAACAACCTGAAAACAGAAATAGCCCAGTGAGTGCTGGCTCTCGACTGACCATGGAATTTCATCAGAAAATACAGGTGTCCCCTACCTCTCTCCTCCCCTCACTTACTAGCACTGAACTCATTATTACGCCAACCCCCCCATCACGGTTCTCTTGCTCAGCAGGGTACAAAATATTGAGACCAAACCCCAATTTTTCTGACATCTTCATGGGTAGAAGCAGGTTATAGGGAGGGGGAACTGTCTTTTTTGAAGCTGCAAACAATTTTTCTTAAATGCTCTGAGTGCTCTTTGACTGGCCTTTGGGGGAAAAATACTTCAAAGAGTCCTTTGAATATATATAAAGAGAAAGAAAAGACCCTATCTTGGATCCAGGGGGCCAAGACCTCAAGGAGCTAAACTCATCTGCACAATAGTGAGGAAAAGCTTTCTGGTGGGAGGGTGGGATCTTTCATTTTTTGGAAAACTTTTTTCTGTCTTGCCCCGGAGTCTCAGCAGCATGGGGGCCTTGAAGCCCTATATGGGAAAAAGTAAGTCTCAAATCTCATTAACTTGGTGCAAGCAGAACCCTAAGGAGAGAGCTGGCCAGGAGAGGGAGCCCTGTGGCCTCTGATAGGATGCCGCCTGCGTCTCCAACCCAGTTCCCTTCTGTTTCGTAAATGTGTTCGCGTGGTTTTTAACCATGGCCTGGGATATAGAGAGGACCCTGTGTCCACACTTGGGACAAAGCAGTGTAGGGACTCGGCACAGTGGAGGGGAACCCGACTCCAGTTCCCAGGAGGTGATCTACAGAAAAGCAGGGAGCCTCAGTCTGGGCTGGTCACAGGCTGAGGGGGTCCAGCCAGGATTCTGTTGAGGAACTTGGAGGCATTCCCAGAGACCCCCAGGAATGGACCCCCTGAAAGACTGCCCGTGGGCATGCAGGGTGTGGCCTGGACTGTCTTTACTCTGATGTTACTGGGAATCATGCTCCCTGGAGCTGCAGAAGCCTCAGGCATCCTGTTTGCACAAGCACTTTAATCTCCACTGGACCCATGGGTTGGGCAGGGTAGTAGATTTTACTCCCATTTTTGGGAAGAAGAAACAGGCTCAGAGAAACAAGGACCATGGAGTGACTGCTCATTTAAAGCAGCCATAGGTTTTGAAAGGAACAACTGGGAATAGACTCTGTGACTCTGGTCTTGCCTTGGGGGCCCCCGTCTCATGCACACAGCATTCCTCAGTGGGATCAAGGGACCAAGCAACATTTGACCCAGCATTTGCTTGGAGAGCAAAACCAATCGCTGAAGAGTGACTGCAACCAAGCATCACTCAAAGAAAACCAAGAGAAATGTCTTGTGTAAGACCTTTGTCACAGCCCATTCACACCACTGGCAATTTCCTGAAATTTCAAGCTGACAGATAGAATATTGACCAATTTCAAACTATCAACACAGGCTATCTCCCATAAGGAACGAGATGGGGATACTTCTAGGTTTTTACTTCTCCAGATTTTCCATTTTGGTGAGTAAAAAGCCATTTTTCACTTTCTGCCTTCACAGTGGAGTAATAGCGTTTGTAGGGATGATATTCTAAAACCAAAACTGCCCTCAGCAATCTCTTAAATTTCCCTTTAAGTGCAGAATACATGCTTTCATATTATACTATTTATCTCTCATACACGGTTATCTTTCAGGGACAGATTATATTAAAACAACAACAACAAAAAATGTGGTTGTTACTGTTGTTTTAGGAGCACCCAGAGTTGATGACACAGAGCTCGAATGCACACAGATGCCACACACTGAATTTATGCAGAAACTGCAGGAAGTGTAGCTACTCCTCAGGGCTCTTCCCGTACCTTGGCCCCCGGGGACAGCTGGCCCTTGCCTTCTGAGTTCTGAGGCGAGCTGATCTTGTGAACTTTGGGGGACAGCAGCGGCACTGAGACTGGTGTGGCGGTGGCGGTGGCCGTGGTTGGAGCTGTGGTCGCTCCCACTGCCTCGGCCAGGTCTGGAGGGAGGTCGTCTTCGTCACTGCGGTTACTAAAAGCACATGAAGCTCTGCTCATTACAATAATAAACAGGCTGTGGGGAGTGGAGGTAGGTGGGGAGGGCTGGGACGGCTTGGGTAGGGGTTGGGGTCTCCCCAGATGTCTACCAGATGTCCAGCTTACGGGAGCCAATATATCAACCTTTAGCCAAAGCAAATTTGGGCTGGATTTTCTGTCACTTGCCAAGGGATGAAAAACAAATTTTAATATATTTCAATATAAAAATATAACATAATAATCATTATTTTATCCATTTGTAAGTATATAATTCAGTGGCTTAAAGACATTCACAATGCTGGATAGCAATTACTTTATCTATACCCCAGACGTTTCTATCATCTCAACAGCAACTCTGTACTCATCAAACAATATCTCCCCACGGTCCCCTCCCTGTAGTCCCCGGTAAAGTTTGTTCTGCTGTTGGGGCTCAGAGTGGGCCACCCGCAATTATGCCACAGTGGCATATTAATTTTTTTAATAAGATAGAGTTGTTTTTAATTTTAATAAAACTACATGGAGAAAAAACTTAATACATTTTTTATATAGCATTTTTTGAAGACCCTGAAGGAAAGACTGAATTACTACCATCACTGAAAATTTATTTCTGGAAATGTCCACAGGATTTTTTAATTAATCGGATAAGAGATATTTTTACCATTAAATAAAATATGTATTCATTATGAGATATAATATCCTAGTTATGAAAAGTTGCACTTTAAAAACAATTTAGGGTAATTTTGTCCTTTGGCATTTAGTCAGAAAAAGCAATGACTTTTGGCATTTAAATCAGAAATAAATATTCATCAGTATAGTTTGTACTCCCTATCTTGTGTGTTAAGTGTTTCTTTTCAAAATAGTAGTTATGTGGGGATAAGAAAACTTACTGGTACTGAGGTACATAAATTTCAATGTGAGGATTTCAGTATGACTTCAAGGGTTTTGTAAGAGAAATATTTGCATTTGTGTGCTTCTTTTCCCCTTCAAAGAGTGCTTACAAGTAGAGTCTGGAAAATGGGAAGTGGAAGAGCAATGATCTTAGAATGCACATGATAAAATGATTAGGAGAGGACAAGGGAATAAGCAGAAAATTGAAAATAAACATTTCATGAGAGGTTGAAAAATGTAGATACATATATAGCTTGTACTGGCTTCCAAGAGAATACTGAAATTCTGCTGAGGGTCTCCAGTTTTCTTCTTCTCTTCATAATGTCAAATTATAACGTAAAGTATTGCAAAAAGTTGTTCCTTAATTTCTGACAGACTTTCTCCTTTCAGCTTGTTATGTGGTATAAAGGTCTGTCATATTGATTATTTTGAATTAAGTTACTTAAGAAATGGTCACCAGCACTCTGACCCTCCTCTCTGTCTCCCTGAAAGCAGGATATAAATCTCTCATGTGAAAGGTGTATTCCCTATAGTAGGCAGAAAGACCCCTTTATCACAGAGATAGGGAATTTAGGCCAAGAAGCCTATATAAACAAACCTTGCTACTTCTTTAAGTTACTACCCCAAGACCAAACTGTTTAGATGCTTCACTAATTGAGCACCCAAAATGTAAGTTTCTTTATCCTGTCAATTCCTTACAAAATTTTTATTTCTTTGTCTAAAAAGTACAAAAGCTGCCTGCTTTGGCCACTTCTTAGGTGCTATTTCTATGAGATCTCCATGTGCATGAATTAAAATTTGTTCCCTGTTCTCCTAATAACCTGTCTTCTTATTTTATTATTAGTCTGGCCACAAGAACTCAGAAAGGGGGAAGGGGAAATTTTACACCCCTCCCCGACATGGTTTTCTGTCCAAATGAATGTGACTACTCTAGGTACCTCATATAAATGAAATTATATAGTAAATACTTCTCTGTATCTGGGTTATTATTTTTTTTTACTATAATGTTTTCAAGATCTATCCATATCGTAACATAAGTCAAAGGTTCATTCCTTTTTATGGTTGAATAATATTCCATTGTATAGACAGATTATATTTTGTTTATCCCTTCATCTGTTGATGGACAATTGGGTTGTTTCTGCCACTTAGCTATTGTTATGAATGTCGTGTGCAAACATCTGTTTGAGTCTCCGCTTTCAACTCTTTCGGATTAGAATTCTACCTAGGAGGGGAACTGGTGAGTTGTATAATAGTTCTATGTTTAACATTTTGAGGAACCACCAAACCAAGGGATGTTATTCTGAGTAGCCTCCCATATAAGGGTAAATATAAGAGCTGTAGAAACCTACTGTTTTGAATGAGACTCCTCTTATGGTCTAACAGCAACTGTCCCTTTGGTGATAAACTGGTTATAAAGGAGGAGGTGGGCACAATTGCCTTGGGGTCAAGTAGTTCTGATTTTAGACCCTCTCTGATCAAACGGGAAGACCCACGATGGAAAGGGCACTGGACAGGAAGTCATCAGGAGGGAGGAGAAGTCCCAGGATGGCACCTGGGGCTCATCGCCAGAGCCTGAACTTATGGGGAAGGCTTGACTTCTCACAAGATATGCCAAGGCTGGAAGACTTTCTGGTCAGATCATCCTGGCAAAGAGAAGCACCATCAATCCTCCACTCTTGGCATGGACAGTATTTTCTCAAACTTACAGAAATTAAGACAAGTTCCCTATTGCCTGATGCCAACCAGATTCCTGCCTGTGCAGGAAAGTGCTAAAGCTTGCTTGAACCCTGTACATTCCAAAGGAAACACTGTTCATTAACAAGCTCCTGAGAGAACCCCTGGAGCCTTGGAATATCCTGCTGAATAAGTGGCTTAGCATACTAAAGGTCTTGAGCCAGGCTAAATAACTTCTGTTATCAATGTGACGTATGATAAACACACGGTATCTCAGGTCAATTCATGAAACATTTTAATAAGTAAAATTTTACATATGGTATGATTCTTTTCTTTGAAATGATTCCTTTCTGTTTTAAACAAAGGCATAGAAAAATGTCTAGAGTGATAGTCATAAAGGTGAACATTGGTTATTTTCAATGGTATGATGCTATGGGATTAGCTCCTTTTCCCTTTGGATTTTTCTGTCTTGCCTGAATAGTTTCAGATTTTTACACTATGTTTATTTTTACCTTTTTAAAAAAATATTGTTTAATGTAGGTCATTTTTAAAGTCTTTTTTGAATTTGTTACAATATTGCTTCCATTTCATGTTTGGTTTTCTGGTTGTGAGGCATGTGAGATCTTAGCTCCCCTACCAGGGATCGAATCCACGCCCCCTACATTGAAAGGCAAAATCTAAACCACTGGACAGCCAGGGAAGTTCCTACACTATATCTAAATAAATAGTAAAGTTCAATTTATGGGGGAAACCTAACAGATCATCATTTTCTAAACATACCAGCTGATCTCAATATAAAGATATACTTTACCTGCCTTAAACTCTTTGCAAAGTTTAATTTCTTCACTCTAAATACAGCAGCCACACTTTTCCTCCCTATGTTGTATTTCAAGAAAAGAACACAGCTGAGATTTTTGTCTATATCCTAAAAAGTAGCAGTTTGAAAACCTGTTCAGAGAACCTAAATACCATGATGCTTTAATGAAGGAGCTTAAAGTCCAAACAAGCACATATAATTCTGACCTAGGGACTAGTAATACTGTAACCACTAAAAAAGGCACACACCTCCCCACATGTCAAAAATAATGATGCAGAATTATTTTTGAGGGAATGAGAAATCTTAGTTTTTCCAGTCTACATCCCTTAACCATGTGTTTATTAACCTCATCAATATCTGTGAGTGGAAGAGCTGAGTAAAGTAGTGGTAACTAGTGTTGACAATACAAGAACTATTTATGGGATGAAAATGCAAAACTGGGAACATCCTATCTGTTAATTTTGCTGTTTACTACTAATGGGGGAAATGGTGCCATTCTTTGATTTTCAAACCAGAATACTTTGGGTATCTTAAGAAATACACATGAAATCAGAGGTTCAAAAAGGGTTTCCTTAAAAGAGGCAATTTGGTGAGTTAGTTAAATTTTCTTTCCTTCCAGGCCATGTATTAGTCAATGTTTCCAACATGATTACATATCCTGAATGGGTGATAATAACATTTTGAATTTCGAAATGTAAAATGAAAGGCTAATCTTGCCAACTTTATCCTCTGGGAAGCAGATTTTTCATTGGTTAATCTGTCCCCCAGAGATCATTAGGAATGTTAATTATTTGAAGCTTTTTCATGTTGACTTTCCTAGGAAATACAGCTGCTATACAGTCCAAAAATTTCTACCAAGGCTAATGAGGTGGAATGTGTCTGTCCTGAAATAGCACTCCCCCTTCTCCTTTTCAGAAGGTGCAAGTGGCAGGCCAGAGGCGGCTGTTGGAGAATTGCATCAACAGTTCTCCCCTTGTCCTATACATTGTAGTCTGGGTACCTCCTAAACTTGACCTTTTTAGAGGCTTCAGTTGCATCATAAGAAAGCAAGAGTAACTCATCCTTCAGCCCGGTCCCTTGCTAAGGCTTACCCACATTGTCTTATGTTTACCCTCACAAAATCTTTGTCCATTTTACAGATTACAGGGAGATTCAAAGAGTAATTTTCCCAAGAGCTTATGACAGTAAACAAGAAGCCTTTCTCACTCCAGAGTCCCATGCTTTGCCCTGCACCCAAAGATCCCCTTGCAGCTCTCTGACCAATTATATATCCAGACACGATACGTGGGCCATAGCTGAGGTCAAGAAATAGGAACAACCATTGTGGTTTTACTAATATACCACCACATTTAACTGCAGCATTAACCTGTCCTCTTTGGATTAAAATTATTTATAATCTGTCTTTCCCTCTAATAAATTTAAATCCTTGCATGGGAATTGTTGAAGTCACTTTGTTCTTCCCTCACAGTGGCTAGAATATCCCTGTGCACGAGGGAGTTAGGAAACTTTTGTTAAGTTCAACATAACTGGACCGGTCCTGCTGGTTCCGGCATACTTTGGAATACGGCTCCTCCCACAGGAATATGGCTCCTCCCACAGGAATACGGCTCCTCCCACAGGAATACGGCTCCACCAACAAGAATACGGCTCCTCCCACAGGAATACGGCTCCACCCACAGGAATATGGCTCCTCCCACAGGAATATGGCTCCTCCCACAGGAATATGGGCTCCTGCTACAGGAATATGGTTCTTCCTACACAAATTTGTTGTTGTTGTTCAGTTACTAAGTCACGTCTGACTCTTTGCAACTCTATGGACTATAGCATGCCAGGCTCCATGGGTTCTCCAGGCAAGGATACTGGAGTAGGTTGCCATTTCCTTCTCCAAGGATCTTCTCAGACTAGGGATTGAACACGTCTCCTTCATTGGCAGATGGATTCTTTACCACTGCGCCACCAGGAAATTCCTAAGGAATAGAGCTCTTCTTATTGCTCAGGGATCAGCTTGGGCTCTATTGACAGACAGTGCTAGCATTTCACTAAGGCACAACGGAGACAGCATCCGACAGCTCCCCACGTTCCTCCTATGCTATCTGTGCCCTGAGGAAGCCCCTCCCCTTACGTGTGGGCTGGATCTGGTGACTTGCTTCTAATGAAGAGAATATGGCAAAAGTGATGAAATGTCATGTCTGAGATTAGGTTATAAAAGGCTGTGAGGTTGCCTTTCTAGAAGTCTTTCTGACTCTTCTTGTGTATTTTCTCTGATAGAGAAAGTGGAAGAGGTCTACATGTCTAGGAACTAAAGCCAAACAAACAAACCTCCAGGCAAAAGCCAGCAAGGAATGATGTCCTCAGTCCAACAGCCCTCAAGGAATTGAGTTCTGCCCCACACTGTATGAATGAGCCTTCAGATGAGGCTGTAGACCTTGCCAGTATCTTGAAGGCAGCCTTAACAGACACTCTGACCCAGAAGACTCAGCTAAGCCATGCCTGGACCCCAACCCACAGAAACTGTGAGAAAATAAATGCAGATTGTTTTAAGCCACTAAATCTTGTAGTAATTTGTTATAAAGCAACCAATAAGGAATGCATATGCCACCTGTGTCATGTTTTCAAGGAGAAAGATCCAGCACCATTATGACTTACATAAGAAAATAGACTGTATTTTTGAGGTGGTCCTTTGCGATGGGTGTGAAGGGCTAAGAAGCATTTACAACTGGACATTTGGCATCACCTTTGTTGTTATAATTGAAAAACTTGCAGCATGGAACTCACAAGCTGTATTGTCTTGTTAACTTCCGCACTCGGGGAGGCTTGATCTCCGGCTTTTCCATAGCTGGTTGTGTAGTTTCCACACGTATAGGAATAGGACTTCTAGAGACACATCAGAAAAGCAGAACAACACCAACAAAGAGGTTCATGGTCTGGTTTTGACAGTAGGGACTGCTTTCTCAGTTAATTTATACCTTACTAACACTGATAGTCAAGATAACTGTTTTTTTTCCTCCTCTTCACTCTACCTATTACATATAATTATTTAAAAATACCACAGAAAAGCCAAAATAAAAAGATTATAAGGAGGAAAATACAGCAAGCAGGAACTGAAGATGATTGAGGTCTCACATGAAATTTCTCTGCCCAAAACACCCCTTCCCAATATTAGGTTTTTGTTCATAACCAGGTTTTGCTAGTGAAACGAGTAAAGGGAAACCTATGGATAGCCTATTTTTACTTCCAAGTGAGTAATCTAGTATCTATGTTATTTTAAACATAACACAGAATACATTTTTTAAATAGATAAAGAATGATAGAGTAGTTCATATAAAAAATATTTAATCAGAAGACTTTAAGACTCACTCTAAAACATTTAAATTCTATGTCCAGATTAAAATGTTAAAAATTAAGTTTCATTTTTATATTTTCTCAAGAAAACATGCCAGTTAACCAAGGGCTTACTCCTAAGTGTGATTTTAAGGAAAAGTTTTTATACATTTTTATGCTTGAGTGATTTCACTTAAAAAAAAAACAGTAAGTACTTTCTGGGACCAATGGACATCAAAACAAACTGAGATTCTTGGCAAGAGACTTCTAGTAAGTCAGTTAACACATCTGGGCCTCCATCTTCCCTTCTTAGTTCAGTTCAGTTCAGTCGCTCAGTCATGTCCAACTCCTTGCGACCCCATGAACCACAGCATGCCAGGCCTCCTTGTCCATCACCAACTCCCAGAGTTTACCCAAACTCATGTCCTTTGAGTCGGTGATGCCATCTAACCATCTCATCCCCTGTCTTCCCTTCTACTGAGTGCCTAATTTGGTGGGGATAGGTATGTGGCCAGAGTGCAACAAATGCTAAAGAAACATAAATGAGCAAATATGAAATAGTCAGTGTATTCTAGGTTCATGACTTCCTCAAGCTGGGCCCCTAGAGGCAACTGAACGCAGTCCTTGGAGGAACTCAGGGGAGCACATTACTTTGCTAGGGTGGAATGGGTGGTGTTTGGAAAGCTTCAAGGAGGGGTTTAGACTTAAGCAGATGGAGGGAAGACTTCCAAGGTGGGAGACGGAGTGGAGACCCAGATCTGCTGATGGGTAAGGTAAAGTCATAGCATCACTGATTCAATGGACATGAATCCAAGCAAGTACCAGGAGATAGTGAAGGACAGGGAAGCCTGGTATGCTACCGTCCATGGGGTCACAAAGAGTCAGACACAACTTAGCAACTGAACAACAAAAACAAGGTAAGATCAGGGGCTTGTGACTAGAGGGGAAACCAGGGCCCATGCATGAGGTGCCTCAAGCTGAGTTGTTTACATAAAGGCAAAGGCAGTCACTGAAGGTTTTTGGCAAGTGAGTGGCATGGTCAGACTTGCATTTTAGAAAGGCCGTTAGAGCAACAAGGATGCTGGTGAGGACAGGCCAGATGGAGCATCTTAGAAAACTGTAATAGTGATTATCCAGGATGAGAAATGGTGAGGGCTGGGGAGTAGGCTGGGAAGAGGGTCATGATAAGCAGGGGATGGGCATGGGAGATAATATGAAAGTCAAATTGGCAGGATTTGGTGACCAGTTAGATAAGGGCATGAATAGGAGAAAGTCAAGGACTCCCAGGCATCAGGTCTGAATAACAGGTAGGGAACAATGACATTGGGGCTTCCCTGGTGGCTCATTGGTAACCAATCTGCCTACTATGCAGGGGACGCAGGAGATGTGGGTCCCATCCATGGGTCGGGAAGATCCCCTGGAGAAGGGAATGGCAATCCACTCCAACATTCTTGCCTAGAGAATCCCATGGACTGAGGAGCCTGACGGCTACAGTCCATAGGGTCGCAAAGACTCAGACACGACAGAAGCGACTGAGCACATGAGTGCACACACAACAGTGACATTAACCAAGAGAGGAAAACTGATGAAATGGGCAGCAGGGTAGGGCTGGAAGAGATGAATTAAGGTTTCAAAAAGTCCAAGAGGCAGCTGGGTATGTGTCTCTGGAGTAAGACGAATTTATACCAAGAACATGGACTAGGCATCATAAGATAACATAGAAAAATATTCATTTTTATTTTTAGCATCAAGTGTAAGAATTTCCCAGGGTAGTGTTTCCTAGATTACATAAGGTGCTTTTTGAAATTCTTGTTTCTGGCCTTTCCCCACTACAACACCCCTACCCCCGCCAAAACTGCCCTACCTCCCACCAAAGGATTGGAAAGGTCTGGAGTAGGACTGTAGTTTTTGGTTTTAACAAGATACTGATGCAGTCCTCCTTGGATACATTTTAGGAAACTTTATCCTAGGGAGACCCCACCAGTGTTAGCAGACTGCCAAGGTGTCCATGGGGCTGCCATGATCTATAGGTGGTTATTCACAGAGAGGTGAAGGGTGGCTACTTTCTATGAGATTAGGAAAGAAAGGTTTTTCTCTGGGTTTGGGTTGGTGGTGGTCTGGGGGCTTTAAAGAACATCGTGACTCTAGCACTTCCAGGGGCTCAGATGCTGGGCCAAGGGAAGGGTACTGAACTGAGCTGAGACAGTGAGCAGAAGCCAGGTCATGAAGGGCTCCCTCTGCTCTGTTAAGGGGTCCAGACCCCACCCTGACTTTAAACAGGGGACTGACATGGTCAGATCAACATGCCTGAGAAGGAACTCAAAGTGACTTGTTAGTACAGCAGGTAGAAATATTAAAACAGAGGCATAAAGGCAGTTGAGACAGTCTTTTTCTCTCTCTCTCTTCAGGCTCACATTCTCTCAGTTTTCTTTTTCTTCTCTACTTTATTATCAAACGCCCTCATGAGTAACGTTTTGAGAATAATGTTAATGGTACTTATTGTTTCCCCATTCAACCAAGAAGCAACAGACCTTACATTAGCGTCCTGAAGAGTGGATTTCTTATTAATATTTACAAACGTTGATTCCTCTTTTCCAACCTGCTAAAGAAAACAGGCAGGTTAGTCAAAACTTAATATCTTGGTACGCAAAAATGTTCCCAAGTGTCCTACATTCAAAGGATTATAGAAACGTGACGGTGTATCAGAGAGGTAGATCATCAAGTACTCAGTCAATAACCAGTTTTTTTTTTCCCCCGGTGTTTATTTAATTTAACAAAAAAATGTTTTCTTGAGTCATTCCCCATCATGGGGATTAACACTTAATCATTCAAATACAATCAATGCTTGCATTCACACTCTTATCGAGTACCTGCTATGTGTCAGCTCAGGACTGAATGAGAAAAGGATGGTGTAGGAAAAGTCAAACCCCCAGTTTAATTCCCTACCTCACATTTTTAGATCAGGAATAATAAACAGTTCCATGCTCACATAGCACTTAGCGCCTTGAAAAGAGTTTAGAATCTGTCCTTTCACATCAGTGTAGCAAGCCCGGGAGGAGTCACGTCATATGATTTTGAAAGAAGCCTTGTCCTCCTCCCTCTAGTGAGTCCCACAAAGAAGTGTGGGGAAGGAAGGACACCCACGCAGCCAGCCAGGCCAGCTGAGCTCACGCTGGAGATCAACAGGAGACGTAGCAGCCAGGGGCCGTCAGACCCACCACAGCGTACAGAGCCGGCCCTTTTACTTCCTCAACTACTACTGGGTTTGGGCCAAAAAGTTCTTTCAGGTTTTTCTGTAAGATGTTATGAAAAACTCAAATGAGCTTTTTGGCCAATCCAATAACTACACTGGTTAATAACTCTTTATATTAAAAGCTCTATTCACATAACAGGTGTGGTTCCTACGTCCTGGCTGGACCCGACTGACACAGCAGTCCCAGAGCACCTCATCTACACGTCCCTGATGAAACCTCGTGACATAAAATCACAGGCTTGCAGGCACGCACCTGGGCACTCACTCGGGACGCGTTCTCCAGCTGGGCCTTCAAAATGTTACACTTCACGTGATCAGCCACGGGGGACGGCAAAAGTGGGGTCTGAAGAGTCTTCTCAGAAACTTTTTTCTCTTCGGCCTGAGATGAACCAAAATACATGTAACGAATGGTAAATGAAGAACTAAGGAAACACATACATTAATCTTTCCCAACCATCATCACTGCAAACAACACAGAGTCAAGTGCGTCACCAACTCCTTGGGTTTGTACCAGTGCTTTTACTATTTGCCAAGGATTCACAAGCGCATCCCCTCCTTCTCGTGTGAAGCAGGGAGAGGAAGTGGTAGGAAGCTCACGAGTCACAGGACCGGGAAGGTCCAAGGAGACTCTTTCAGATTCATGCAGCCAGAGCCAGTGGCAGAACCAGGACTCAAAGTCTGAGTCACATACTGTGACATGTATGTGTGTGTGTGTGTTCAGTCGCTCAATTGCGTCTGACTCTTTGTGATCCCATGGTCTGTAGCCTACCAGGCTCCTCTATCCATGGGATTTCCCAGGCAAGAATACTGGAGTGGGTTGCCATTTCCTTCTCCATGGGATCGTCTGTGACTTGTTAGTTCAAGGGTCATTCATATTTTTACAATAATCTTGCTGAAAATTGTTATTCTCAATAAGAAATCTGTATCTGTTGCCTCACTGTAGAGTGTCTCAGACTTCAATAATCTAATGCCACCTTTCTTATTTTTTTTTCTTGCCATTTCTCATGTATTAACTAAACATGTACCTATAATTTGTATAATCCAATTAAAGTGGAATACCCTGGGGATATCTATTTTAAATGTGTCCTAAGCAATAATATCTTTGAAATCATAGACTTGGTGGCTATTTTATTTATTATAACATAAATTGTGATAAATATGTAACTATTAAAGAATACTCATCTATATATATAACTTGAAATCAACTTTGATGATACACATATCATACTCTGGGAAATAATGCCTTATTGCATATCTCAGTGCTTCTATGGTTCCAAGCATACAGAAGATGTTTGAAAAATATCCACTGAAGAAGATTATAATAGATAGTAATTACTAGATGATATGTGTTTAATAAGAAAGATATAAGACCATGTGACTACTCAAAGACATCAGGACTAAATATGGCATATTAGCCATAATGTACCTGAGCAAGAACAAAATGTAAAGACCTCCAATTCTGCAAGTTTCAAAATTAACCTCATCCACTAATTCAAAGCTCCTATTGAGTACCTCCATACAGACAGCAGGGGTATTATGAAAGCTGCAGAGGAAGTATAGGGCAATTGGCTGGTTGATATCACTGAATAAAGAAAAGAGAGCAGAGAATGCAGTCTCCCAGTGGGACCTCCAAATACATGGAGGGTATTCAGTAGGACAAGTTGAACTCAGCAATTTCACAACACAGTAAAATAAAGAGACAGAAGACCTGGATTTGAATCTCAGCTCTTTTCCTTATTAGCACCATAAAAAAAAAAAGATGATGATGTAGATGGTGATGGTGATGAGAAGGAGGGGAGGAGGGAGGATTTAAGATGCATGTCTCATTGAATCCTCTCATTTAACCATCCCATTTGAAGGTAGATAATATCACCATCCCCGTTTTATAGATGAGAAAAACAAAGCAGAGAGATGGTAAGTCACTTGCCCAAGATCACATAATACCCAGAAGAGCCAAGGTTCACACTCAGGACTGGGTAACTCCAAAGCTAAAGCCCTGACCACCCAGCCACACTGGCTCCCCTTCACCTCTCTGAGGCTCAGTTTCTTTCTTCATAAGATTATCATGACAATCACATGAGAGAAAAAAAAAGATATGAATGGTACTTGCATGTTAGAAAAAAAAATGCAACTAAAAAAGAAAAACAGATGTGAGGACACTAATGATCCTAAGCCATCAAGTTGGGTACAAAGAAAATAGATTCTTTTGAAGGGAATCAGTAGCCTAAGAAACAGCATTCTGTAAAACAAAAGCAAAAAACTATAAGCAATATTTATTTTGAAAGATGAGCACTACAGTATAGTTTGAAGATAATTTATCTTGTGTTTGTAAATCCTGTTAATTAAGATAACTGTTTAACACTAAAACCATGAGGTTTTCACAGGTGTATGAAGGTTAATTTTTAATTAGATTTAATTTTTTGGAATGATATGCTGGAATACAAGAATTGAACTCGTTCTAAAGCCCATTTGAGGTTTTTGACAATTGCTTAAGGGGATATAGCTATACTGACAGTAATGACCAAAGGCCCACTTTGAAAAGAAAACAAAATGCTGTTAAAATAAGAAATCAGTGAGAATTAAACATTGATTTCCCCTTTGAATTTATCAATTCTGTACTGCTTTTTGGATAGAAAATTCAAGGTGGCTTATTCTTGCTCTATCTGACCAAGCAGAAGCTACTTTTCAGCTCTATGACTTGGCTCAGGTGAGAACCAACACAAATTTTGGAAACTTGAGTATCATTGCATTTATGTTTGCATAAAAGGCATCTCTATGAGGGGTAAACATCTGATTGCAGCCATGAAATTAAAAGACACTTACTCCTTGGAAGGAAAGTTATGACCAACCTAGACAGCATNTTGAATTGTGAAAAGAGGTTGTTTTATTCAATATGGAAATTCATATTTCAAAACACACAGATGAATGATAATTGGACTTTGATATAATTGTCATTGGAAATAGCCTTTCTGTGTAAGGATGTCATTTGGGGATAAAGAAATGATCAGATGCAGTTTTCAACTATTGATACAAATTGTTTACATGTTTCAAATCAGATGAAATTCAAGTGTCTGTGACAATTTTGGGTGCACCTTTGGAATTGGGCAATCAGAATGTCTTCTCACCATTAACATATCCAAACCTTAGAAGAATCAGAGGATTCTTGAGACTGAAAAAAACCTTAAAAGCCATCAGAACCACTGGTTCCCAGTTGTGGTATCATGATAAGTTATGATGCCTATTGCAAGGGTTATTTTTATTAATGATAAGGAGTCATAGTGTGAAGTCATATACTTGCCTATGTGTTAGGACAAAGTCAAGGTTATCTGGCATTACTCTATCCTCTATGCTCACTGATCCATTTCTTCATGTGAGGGAGAAAAGAGGGGCATTATTGATTGAGTGCATGGGAGTAGTGAAAGTTAGTCATTCAGTCGTGTCCAGCTCTTTTCAACCCCATGGACTGTAGCCCACCAGGCTCCTCTGTCCATGGAATTCTTCAGGCCAGAATACTGGAGTGGGTAGCCAATCCCTTCTCCAGGGGATCTTCCTGACCCAGGGATCAAACCAGGGTCTCCCACATTGCAGGCAGATTCTTCACCATCTGAGCCACCAGGGAAGCCCCGAGTCCATGGCAAGTGCTCAGTAACTCACAGCTGTCTCAGCTACACCTTAACCCAGAGCAAGCCACCATTGCTAATGTCCCACCAAGATTCAAACTACAAATTACACACAACTTGTGAGTTCTCTGCTACTGTATGCTATACTTTCCTGCAAAATATTTTTGATTTTGCCAAGCTCCAGGTAAGCTCCTATTGAAATGATTTATTGTGTGGACTGCAGAAGAAAAGTTGAAAACCTGGAGACTGAGAGAAAGACCAATCCCAGGCACATAATCCATCAAGTTGACTCCTAGCAGCTAGCACAGGCCTGCTCAATGAAGATTTGTTGATTGAATGAATATAAGTGCCATCCTGCAGGAAGAATTATTTTTCCAGCTGACTATCAGGGAGGGTAGTACTGAAGAAAACTGGGTGAACAGGATCTTAAAGTTGGGGCCCATGAGTGATCAGAGGGACCTGAGGTTTCCCTATTGGGGTGGGTTCAAGGGGATGGAGAATCTGCTGAGAAACCCTGGAAGTCTAGTGTAGGCTAGAGGGATGTCTAGGGTAGAGGAACAGCCCAGATAGGAGGTATAATGTTCCCATGTTCAACAACTTGGGTAAGGAAAGGGAGCTCCCATTCCAGGCCAGATCTTCCAAATAATTAATTATTAGTTTGTTGGTGTTGTTTAGTTGCTAAGTCAAGTCCTACTCTTAGTGACGCCATGGACTGCAGCGTACCAGGCTTCCCTGTCCTTCACTATCTCCTAGAGTTTGCTCAAACTCATGTTTGAGTCAGAGATGCCATCCAAACATCTCATCCTGTCACCTCCTTCTCCTCCTGCCTTAAATCTTTTCCGGCATCAGGATCTTTCCCAATGAGCTGACTTTTTGCATCAGTGGCCAAAGCATTGGAGCTTCAGCATCAGTACTTCCAGTGAATATTCAGGATTGATTTCCTTTAGGATTGATTGGTTTGATCTCCTTGCAGTCTAAGGGACTCTCAAGAGTCTTCAGCACCACAGTTCGAAAGCATCAATTCTTTGGTGCTCAGCCTTCTTTATGGTCCAACTCTCACATCCATCCATGACTATTGGAAATACCATAGCTTTGACTATATGGACCTTTGTCAGCAAAGTGAGGTTGTTAATTAATAATTTAATGAATAATTAAATTAATATAACTATAAATTGTACTTTAAATAATTTAATTAATAATTAAAGTGATACTGTTAATTAATTCTAAATTGTTAATTCCCTCTTATAAAGAGGTAAAGCTAAGCACTGGGGTTAGAAACAATGATCCATGAGTAAAGAAGACTATTCCTATAAGGATTTTAAAAAGTGTATGCAACAGCGGGTCTCAACCAGGGGCAATCTCGCCCTTCAGGGGACATCTGGCAATGTCTGGAGACAATTTTGGTTGTCACGCCAGGATGGCGGGATGCTACTTGCACCTGGAGGGTAGAGGCCAGGGGTGCCGCAAAACATCCTGCAATGCGCAGCACAGCCTCTCCCCCAAAGTATCAGGCTGAAATATCACTAGAGCCTAAGTTGAGCCACCCTAGGGTAGAAACTGAAGAAACATGTGGGGGTGCAAATGGCACTGTACTGGGAGTCAGGGGTCCAGGGATTCAGCCGCTGCTCTGACTTCAAGAATGCCCGGTCCCTTCCTCTGGTCTCAGATGTTGAAAAGGTTGAAATAAATGACAGATTGAATCCAGCACTGGCTTCTACAGTTCTAAGATATAACTTGGTTGTTATAAGGCTGCCCATTTGGATATAAGAACAGATCTAGCCAAAAGAGAACTTGTCTTTTGCCCAGTCCCTTCCTCAAGACCTCCCTCCCTACTTCTTTATTTTTTTATTTTTTTATTTTTAATACTTAAGCCAGCCTTTTATTTTTTGGCCACACCACGCAGCATGTGGGATCTTAGCTCCCTGTCCGGGGATTGAACCCACGACCCCTGCATTGGAAGTGTGGAGCTCTAACCACTGGACAGACAGGGAAGTCCCCCTCCTCCCCACTCTAATCCTTCCCTTCCTTCTGTTAGCAGACAGTTACTGAATATCTATGATGTGCCAGGTGCTGTTGAAGAGAGACAGAGGGTACTGTGGACTGAACTGTGTCCTCCCCAAATTTATATGTTGAAATCCTAACCCTCTTTGTGATGGGATCTGGGCACAGGGCCTTTGAGAAGTAGTAATTAGATTGAGATAAAATCATGTCGGTGGGACCCTCATGACGGGATTAATGGCTTTATAAGAAGAGGAAGAAAGAGCCCTCTCTTCCGCGAGAAGGTAACTGGGTAACTGGCTCCCAGCCAGGAAGCGAGCTTTCACCAGGGAACCAAATCATCCACACCTTGACCTTGGACTTCCAACCTTCAGATCAACGAGAAATAAATGTCTGCTGATTAAGCCACCTGGTCTATGGTAATCTGTGACAGCAGCCCATGCAGACTAATACAGAGTAAAACCAGAAGGAGGTAAATGTGGAGGCTTCCCTGGAGGAACTTCAGTTAGAAGGATGGAGAGGACCACGAACAGATCCAGGCTGAGGGCCTCAGCATCAGAGGCAGCCCCTACTGCTGTAATCCACCCCAAAAGAACATAAGTGAATTTTGGCTCCTAAGAGACATGCCTGAGCAGAAATGTCATGAGAGATTGAGTAGAAAGGCACCCATGTGCCTTTGCCTCCAAGACAAAGGCACATGGTTTAAGAGGCAGGCGGGGTCATAATGAGAGGTGTGAGTGAACCCCAGGCCCACGTGCATCACCCAGCTCTGGTCCTTGGCACCTTATTTATATTGATGTGCAGAGCAGGCCAGGGTCCAGCAGGCTTCACAGTTTCCAGTTCCAGCTTCTTTAGATGGGCAGCGGCTTCGCTGAAAAGGGCAGGTGTTCCCGGACTCAGTTCTGTAAGTGAGTGAGGAAAGGTTGAAAGGGCAGAGAGATAGAGGTGATGAAAGATGCTTACCAGAGACCAACCCTCAGAGCCTTGCTGCCTGGTTCCTCCTCCGGCAGCTTGAATCTCTTAGGAATGCACTAGCGGGTGGGATGTGGGAACATTTTAAGGTCAAAGTTTCAAGGTCTAAGTCCCCCCTATGTGAGCTGGGTGACCCTGGGCAGATTACTTTACCTCTCTGAGCCTCTGAGCCATTTTCAAATGAAAGTAAGATTACTTACCTTGCAGGGTTGCTGTGATTATTAAGTGAGGTAATTCATGTGCAAATGCTTTATTAGTGGAAAAGCACTAGGAGCATTGCAAAGATTAGTGTTCAGGCTAAAGGGCAGACGACTGTGCTCTTAAAAACCATGTTATATCTCTAAAATCAAATTCATTGTATGTTAGATTAGTTCACCACCACTCCTCCCACTAGCTTGTTTTTATCCATGGGTACATTAAATATTCATTAAACATTTGGTATTCATTACATATTAAAGTTTGTGCCAGGCATTGATAGCAACTGGGATTTGGGAAGCTAGAATAAGGAGATGAATGAGACACAATTCTAGTCCATTTGGGAGACAGACATTTGTACAGATATTCCAAATACAAATGACCAAAGATTTATTTAATGTATATGGGGGCTTCCCTGGTGGCTCAATTGGTAAAGAATCCGCCTGCAATGAGAGAGACCTGGGTTTGATCGCTGGGTTGGGAAGATTCCCCTGAAGAAGGGAATGGCTGGCTACCCACTCCAGTATTCTGGCCTGGATAGTGAGGATAGGATCAATTTTTCAATACCAAAGTGGACGATGAGTTACCATTTCTAGCTCAGCCAACCCAGAATTGCTCTTCACCATCTACAGGTGAAGGCTCGATGGCTCATCCTTTTCACCAGCCACAGACTCATGAAATATCAGACCTGGAAGATTCCTTGGCCATCATCTCAATTCCCTCCACCCCATTCCATTGTTGAGAAAACCCTGGATCCAAGAGGGGACTTGGCTCAACCATGGGAACCAGAATCGAAGCCTCTTGATTCTCACGTCTATCTTGACACTTGTTCAAACCACATGTGATAAAGAGCAAGTTCTCCCCCCACCTCCTGTCACACACAAATTCTTTGGTAAAAATATAATAAAAAGGATTTTCTAGAAAAAGAAAAGAACAGGCATACAAAATCCAAGCCCACATTTTTAATTAGTTTTAACAGATACAAAATCACCCTGTCATATTGTTAGAAACATTTCTTTTTTTCCCTTTTTTTAAAAGATATTTTTGATGTGGACCTTTTTAAAGTCTGTCTTGAATGTTACAATATTGCTTGTGTTTTGTTTTGGTGTTTTGGCTGCAAGGCATGTGGGATTTCAGTTCCTTGACCGGGATCGAACCCACACCCCCTGAATTGGAAGGCAAAGTCTTAACCACTGGAACATCAGGGAAGTCCCTAGAAACATTTCTAATTTATTTATTCTCTATTTCCATGACTTCTCACTGGGACTTTAGCAGTGTGCGCTTGATCTACTTGACACCTTGTTTTCAGAAGGCAAGAATGAGACAGAATGTGACAGAATGAGCTTTCCTGGGGTTGGGAATTAGAGACTCAGTCACCGCACTCCCCTCTCTCTCTGTTCCACCACTTGAGCCAGTGCTGGATGATACAGCAGGAGCAGAGAGCCAGCGTGGAATGAGGCAGAGACATCTGCTCCCTCATAACAAAACCAGAGCTGGCGGGTAAACCATAATCCCTAAGTCACCTCTGCCTAATGCACAAGGCTCATGTCTGCGCTCACCCAGACCTGGGAACCCAGCTCGGACATTACCACCATTCCAAGCTGCACCGATGTCTTGAGCATCTCGGAAAGCCACCCACGCCCTGCAGCACTGCTCCCCCACCTTGCCCCCGATGCCCCAACTTACTTGTAAGGGATTTACTGCTGGAGTTTGGGGACCTGGAAAGCCCCTCCTTGCTCTCCAGGGTCAGCGAGAGGCCATAGCTGGTATGGTGCTGGTGTTGGTGATGGTGATGGTGATGCCTTCCCGAAGGCTTGGTGGTAAACGGAGCGCCCCCGTTCTCCTCGAGGCCGAAAGGCAGCCGGTCCGAGCTGCTGAGCCCTGGGGAAGGGAGCGGGTAGCTGTGGAGGGTGTCAGAGTCAGGATTTAGAAAAGCAGAGAGTCTTGAAACCCTTGTCTGTTCTTTAAATGATGCTCTCCATGCATTGAGAACCAAGAGAAACAGGTGCAACAAATAGCTCCACAGAGTTATCGTAGAACAGGACACAATGGCAACAACAGCAACTCAAAGGAAAAGCAGAATGTGGAAATCTGTATTTATCAGAGATGTTAACCCTTAAAAAAATTCTTAAGTTTGAAATTAATCTCAATTTTTTTAAAAAAGACATCACCTAAATGGGAAGCGTACATCAAAGGCAATCATCAGATTAAAAAATAGTTCATTAAACATCCTACAATAAGATCACAATACAAACTAGAAGTCTTGGAGTCACTTTCTCCTCCTCTCCATCAATGCCACCATGCAGAAAGCACCTGTTAAATGTTACGGCTACAACATCTTCTAATTCCAATTGCTCCGCTTGGTGTTATTGCCCTAAGGCTCTTGAAACAGATTCTCAAAGCTCTCCCAGCCTCTACTTCTTCTTTAGCCCCTCTCCACAGAGCAGCAGCCAGAAAGCTGTTCTGATTACGTTCTAGAGTGTGGCACTCCACCCTCCGGGAGCTTGAATACCTCTCTGCTGCTAGTGATTCTTAAGATGAAATCTGATGAAAGCTATGGATCTTCTCTGCAGAAAAAGGCACCCAGACACAACATTTCACTCAATTTCAGGCTCTCTTTCGCCTCTCCATGGACCAAGGCTCAGAGCCTTTGTTTGTAGGAAAAAATCCAAATTCCTTCATGTATCACTCATGCCTGCCCCCTGCTCCCCAACTGGTGATCCCGTCCCATTCTCTTTGCAGCTCATCTTTGGCTATATTCTTCTCTATACCCCCAAGTTCTTCCCATCCTGGGGCCTTTCACCTCTTTCTGTTCCCTGGAGTCGTTCCTCATCACCAAATTCAGCTAAAACACCCCTTCCTCCAGGAAGACTTCCAGCCTTTAAGACCCAGATCAAAGGTCTCCTCACACCCCTAAGCAGAGCCAATCCCTTTTTCTGCTCATTCCCAGAGACCAGATTTTTGCTGCTTACTCCTTCACTCCGTCTTCAGGGAGCTCACACCCCAGGGTAGGAAACTCTCATTTAATCAGTTATAATCACACTAGAAGGAGCCACGAAGGGAGTGTAGAGGGGAAGGCAGCTAGCTTTCCTGGGGCTGGTAAAGGTGTGGAGCAAGGAACCATTGGGGGAGGGGAGAACACTGGGGGAGATGAAAGTTTTGGTGGACTTTCTTAAAACAGAATCTTTTATTTTTTTACAGGAAACATTTCTTGTGTTCGTATGAGGTTGATAATTCCCCTCAGGGTGGACCTATCAGAGCTCTCCCTCTTTCTAGGGACTTGCTCTGGAAAATGATCCCATCAGGGACAACCAAATTTTCCAGGAGGTTTAACACATGGAAACAGAGAGAAAGGGTCTCTCTTCTTTCTTAAGAGTCAAACAAGGCCTTACTGTGACTTTTGTGGGCCCTAAGCCCTTTGGCCTTCATCTCTTCTCTAGAAAAAAAATTAAAAATTACATGCTATGACTGCTTGTATTATAAGAAACAAATATATTAATATCAGATATTAAACCATTTTCTTCAACCAAAAATTCATTTTTTTCTTTTGGCTTTAAAAGCAATGAAATCATTTTTGTGGGCCCCTAAAAGCACTGTGAGCCCAAGGCACTGCAACTCCTATGCCTCATAGATAAGTCAGGTTTGGCTATGAGGATGATATAAATTGAGGCTGCTTATGATCATATTCCCTGGACACAAAGAAGTATCTGTGGGAAGTGGTCAATGCACAGAGGGACCCGAGATTAGCAGAGGTTAAAGCTAGATGAAAAGTGGGGGGGCGGGGGAAAGCCCTTACTGGTAGCATTTGAATCCCTGGTTTCAGCCATGCCTGAAGCTGGTCTACCACTGAACTTCTCAATTATAAGTCCTATTTATGTATTTATCCTTGATGTAGTTGGATTTCTCCCATTTATAACCCACATGCTCTAAATCAGTGATCGTGTGTTGTTTTCTTATTGTTTTTTGCTTATTTGTTTTGTGGAATGTCTTCTGAGCGCCAAGGTGGAAATGGCTATTAGAATCCTAAGGAATAGTATGAGCAAAGGAATGACATTTGAAAAAGCAGAAAGGCTAGAGTGGGAATGAGGAACGTAAAAGGTTTAAGCAAAGGTGTGACATGATTGGAGTTCCATTTTAGAAAATTCACACGGAGGGCTGCGTGGAGGACAGACACCCTGGAGACTGTGATGGGCTAGACGAACTCAGTGGATGGAAGAGAGGGGCGGCCCTCTAGGCTATACCTGAAGAAGTGCAGGTGGGGTGTGCAGGCCAGACACGTGGGGCACAGGGGAGGAGGTGCAGGGGAGGACTCTGCTGGAGGATGCTTTTCAGAAGAAACTGCACTATTGTCCCTATGTTATTCCATGAGCTAGGTCTCTGGACCTGGCTGCCTCCTGGAGATTTTGCTCAGGACAGTTCAACAGGGAAATAAATATGTGTGTGTGTGTGTGTGTGTGTGTGTGTGTAAGAATGTGGAAGGTGTGTCTTTGTCCGGGGTCACAGTCAGCCTCACCTCCCCAACCTGAAGCAAAACCAAGGGTATTCACCCTCCTCATGGAGGCAACAATGGTGGCAGAAAAAAAACGCACTGAGTTGTCACTGAGATTTCTAGCATCTCGTCTTAGTTCTGCCCAACCTTGTGCAGGAATCTTGGCCAGCTGCCCTGGGCTGCAGCTTCCTCCTCTGTGACATGAGAGGGGTCAGGTGATTTCTGGATGCATTTCCAGACCAGATAATCAGCCTTTACTGTCGCCCCCAACTTATTTATCCAGTACTTGCTCTGCCCCAGGCACTGGGTTACAGAGTTTACATTAACCATCCCACTTTATACATGTAGAGGCTTTGCTTAGTTCGTAATTGGTGCTCCATAAATATTTGATGAAAGGGAGGAAGGGAAGGCAGGAGGGAGAGAAGGAAAGAAGCAGGGAGGGAGGGAAGGATGAGTGAAGTGGTGGAGCTGGGATGTGACAACAAGGGTATGAAGTGGAGAGCTCGTGTGCATTATTTTCCCGTGTCTCAAGTACAGTGAAAATAATATCTGTCTTAAGGAGGCACAGAGATTGGGAGCTCAGAACAGAGGACATGCCCTTCGACTTGGAAGGCTTCACAGCTTGAGGCTCATCTTCCACCCACCCTGTTAGTAGCACACTGCTGCCTGCCTATTAACGGTCCAAACGGTTGAGGCAGCAAAGACAAACCAGAGAAATACTGAAAGTCAGAGTGACAGGCTGTGGGCATTGGCAGGACTTGAGAAGGGGAGAACACAGAGATGTGGAGAGGTCAGAAAACTGTGACTTTTAGCCTGGAGGACCAGGAAAACGGCATGCTATGAACAGGAAAAAGGAGTTTGGGAGTGAGGACTACTTGGAGAAGAGATGCTATGATTTAATTTCAGATTGGTCACACTCAGTGTGAGGATGAATCCCCAAGGAACAAGGTGCCCTACAGCAGAGATCTGCAGTACATTCAGGGCTGGAGGTTTGAGTAAGTTTTGAGTAAGAATTTCTGAGGAACGGTAAATAGATAAATAGACATCTCCCAAGCTCATTTCAACCGATTCTCACTCTCCGCTTGGAATGTATGATGAAAAAGGACACTGAGTTTGCACCCAGCTCAGGAGGAAGGAGTGCTTTGATTGATTAGTGATGTCTGCCATGGATGGGAAATGAGGCCATAATATCATGTATCTTCTGTCTTCCCAAGTTAAAAAGTGTGTGTGCATGTTTGTGTGTTTTATTTCTAAGAAACCCAGAGTGAAAAGTTAAACAGGGAAATCAATATATGTGCAGGAAGTGATAACTCATATTCAAAAACGTGTGACTTTCACTTTACAACAACTTCTGGGGAAGACTGAGAAAGAGACAAATGGGAAGGGAAATAGATGAAGGTCAGAGAAGCAGCATGGGTCTCTCAGGGTCAGTGTTTCTAGAAGAACAAAGATTCCTAAGAAGGAGTGGAATGAGTTGGGTGCTTTCTCAGCTCATACACACTGAGGACCATCCAGGAGACCCTAACTTATGGCACTGTGTGGGGCTGTGGGTCCTTTAAGAAACCACTGCTGCTGGCCTCATGGACTGTTCCCTGCAGAACTCCAGGGGGTGATGGTCACATAAGCTATGATGTAACGGCACCCACTGCACCTGCCCTGTCCACAGGAACCTCAGAGAAGGCCATGCCCACCCAGCAGCACTTAGCACCTCATGAGTCCCAGGGCCCAGTGGCTAAGATCCAGGAGATGAGGCCAGCCCCATGCTCACTGTCAACAGAGACTGAGGTTCACCAGGTTTCTGGCATTCTGGAAAGGAGGTTACAAGTCCTGGTTTTCAGAGGGTGATGGAAGAGGTGCAAGCTTCCATGAGCCGGCAGTTGAGAAGGATCTGGTGTGGAAGAAGCGGGCTTCTATGTGCCTAGCGCATGCTAGGCGCTCCAACGGTTAACTTTGACAGTTATCCTGCAAGGAAGCTGGTGCAGCCCCCTTTTACACTGGGGCTTAGTGAAAGGAAGTAACATGCCCTGTTAGTAGATGTGAATGGGAAATTGTGTGTGCGTGCGTGCTAACTCACTTCAGCCATGTCTGATTCTGTGAGACCCTATGGACTGTGGCCTGCCAGGCTCCTCTGTCCATGAGATTCTTCAGGGAAGAGTATGGAGTGGATTGCCATGCCCTCCTCCAGGGGATCTTACTGCCCTGGGGATCAAAACCTGGTCTCCCGCATCTCCTGCATTGCAGGCCGATTCTTTACCACAGTGCCACCGGGGAAGCCCCTAACTGGATATAACTTCTTCTTTTCCCTTCTCTCTGGAAAAGCCCCCTACTCTCATTCTGCTTCCAACTATAGAGCGAATAGCATTCCTCCTGGGGGAGCCTGTGTCATATGGGATATTCTTGACTGTATTAGGG